ACACCGAGCCAACGGTGCTCTTCCTGGTCTTGATGAAGCCGCGCAAGTGCTGCCAGAACCTGTCGATGATCTGGGTCCCGCCTTTGCACTTGAGGACTCGTCCACCAGGAAGTTTATGCTGAAACTTCTTGGCGTACGTGGGTTTCACCCACACCTGGCGGCCGTTTTTCTTCACGGGCTTGCCATTCTTCACGAGCCGCTTCCTCTGGTGCACGACGTGGTCGTGGAGCATCCCCTCGACCTTGACCTTGTACGTTTTTGCCCCGTCCGCGTGGAGCACAACGTTCCTGTTGCTCAAGTTCTTGTGAGCGAACGGCGTCCAATCAGGCAAGCGTATCGCGCCTGGGCCTGGCGCCCTCTGCTTGGTGAGGCTTGGCTTGAGGCGCGTCAACACCAATGTCTTGCGATTGCCTCTTTCGATGACACCGCCCCACTGCTCCCACTGGACCCGCTCGTTCTCAGCTCGCTCCGCGTGATCAGGCAGTAGATCGCCCCTGAGGTCGACCTCATCGGCCTCGACATCTTTCCACGTCCGCCCCTTTCCTCCGAAAGAAATCAGTTTCTCCTGCTGCTGCACGTCGCTCTTTCGGCACGCATCATTGAACTTGCTCATGCTCTCGATCGCCTTGTGGTTCTTGCCCGTGAGCGCATGGATCTTGGCAAGGGGGGCGTTGTTCACGACAGCGAAAAGCACGGCAGACTGTTCCTGCAAGGGCACCGCGGCAACGCCAGAGCCGCTGCTGAAGACCATGTGCCCGCTCTGGGGCAAGGAGAACTTCTGGCAACCCTTGTGGTTGCAGCGGTACCGCGGTCCACGGCCCTGGACGTCCTTCAGGGGGCCGAGGGTCCCTTTCGTGCAGAAAGAGCACGTCTGGCCTTCCAAATTCTCCAAGACCTGGTCCTCGAGCAACATGTCGACGATCTCGCGGTCACTTGCGCGTATGAAATCGAACACGTTCCTCTTGAAAGCAACGCGCTCCGGCCTGGACGTGCAAGTTCTCTTGCCGTGCCGCACGTAAGGCACCTTCCTCGCACTCTGGTTTGGCGCCGTCTTTTTCGCCGTTGTCTTTCCCGCGTGCTTCGGGGCCTTCCGCTTGGGCTTCCCCGTCTTGAGGACAGCGCGCGCCTTGCCCCGCTTAGGCGCAGGGAAGACGCGCCCAGGCGCCATGGCGCGGCTCTGGCCGACGACCCTGGCCAGGAACGGGCAGGCGCGCCTGATCCCCTGGCGCGCCGATGCGCTTGAGCATGCATGTGCGGCGCGCAGGTTTGGCATAGCTCGTGCGCCCTGGCGAATGGACAACAATGCACCAACGAACGCTGGTTGCTCGACCTGCAAAACTGCCTCCTGAATTCGCGGAAGAGACGACGCGGGGTCGGCGATGCATCACCGACAAGTCGGCGATGTGCCCCGATACCGAAGACGCGCGTCCGGGGCTCCTCCCAGACGCCCTGGCCCCAAACGGCGATGACCCTGGCATCAGCAGCGGGTGACGAGAGGGCGACGACGACGATGGCAATGGCGACGGCGGAAGCGAAGAAGGCGGAGATGACGATTGGGCGAGGCGTTTCAGCACGCCGCACGTGATCGGCGTGGGATGCCGTGACTGCTGGCTGCCAGCCCCGCCCCAATGCGTCGCATTGGCCATGAAACTGAAATGTCAATCTCCGCGCCCCCTCCCCATCTACACGCCCATGCCCCCGCCCTCCCCCCCCCCCTCTCCCTCCGCCCAACTCGCGCCGCCTCCGCGGCGGGCAATGGCGCCTGGCTCACGCCCACGTCGCCCGCGGCCGCATGCGGCTCAGCCCTTCGATGGTCTTGTCGAGCGTCGCCATCTTCGCCCTGACGTCCTTGGGAACGACCGAGGCCCAGACGGGCGCCTCGATCGACCGCGGCCGATGGATCCCCCACTGTCTATATCCACTCATACGCCCGAGAGGTGCTCTCCCCTCCATCCCCCCGCGGGCGCGGGCGATCAGGCAATGCCCCGACCACCCCGATCGAACAATTGATTGATCGGCAACCGATCAGGCAGCGCCTTCCGAGGGCGGATCCTCCAGCTCGTCGTAGATGCAATACATCTGCATCTCCATCAAGCGCCACTTGACCCGCAGCCGCGCGCCCTCCTGCGAGGCGGGCACGGCGTCGGCGGGGAAGCCGACCGCCAACGCGGCGGGGCGCATCCAGTGGAGGAGTTCCTTAGGGGTGCGTCGGCTCGCTATCGATCGCGCCCCATCCCTCGCTACCTTCCCCGCCTCTCTCTCTCTCTCTCTCTCTCTCTCTCTCTCTCTCTCTCTCTCTCTCTCTCTCTATCTCTCTCTCTCTCTCTCTCTCTCTGGCGCTTTTTTTGTTCCTCTCTCTCTCTCTCTCTCTCTGTATGTATATGCACCCCGAGCCCAGAGCAGCGGCCGCCGATCGGTCGGTTCGAGACCCGCGGGCCATGCTCGCTAAGCAGCAGACGTACGGCAGCACAGGGTCGTTGTCCGCGCGGACCAGCGCCGCCCGTGGAATCCACGTCCACGACGGCTCAGTGGGGACCAGGAAAGAGGCGACGCGCGCACGGACATCGTCATGCAGCAGAGAACGCGCCTGCCACAGGGGAAGCAACTCCTGGAAGGCCTGGTACTTCAGCGAACACCACTCGCGATGGTACGCGAGCGAGTCGACGCCCGCCTCAAACTGAACCTGGAGGCGCTGGCACTCACGTCGGGCATCGCCGTTGGCGGCCATCTCGCTCGACCAATTGGTCGTCAAGTATGCGGAGTGCTCAGGGTGGAGCCGAGGGCGCGCGATCGCAGACGTCGAGCCAATCTGGCCACGAGAGGGAGAGTGAGAGACAACCGCCCTGATGGCATCACGTGCTGCGCGCATTCATCCCAAGGTTTGCGACAGCTGGCCTGGATGTCAAGATGATAGGTTTCTGCGCGCGTCTTCTCTCCCTGCAATAGCATGGCTGTCAGCCCCGTCCCAATGCGTCGCATTGGCGATGAAATTACACTGCAACTCTTCCCGCCCACGTCCCATCTACGCGCCCGAGACCCCGCCCCGCCCCCCGCGCCGCCCAGCCGCGGCGGGCAACGCGCCCAGCGAACGCCGCTAGGCCTCAGACCGCGCGGCCGCCGCCGCTGCTGCTCGACGGGCCGCCGCGGCCCGCCGCGCGGCTCAGCTCCTGATCCACGACCTCCTCCAGAGCCTGGGTGAGTGACACGGCGCCCTGCTCCGTCGCGACGTCAGAGTCTGGCGAGAGCCCCGCCGCGCCGTTCAGCTCATGAGCCATGATGTCCCCCAAGACAAGGGAGAGCTTGCGCGGCTTCGGCGGCTTCTGCCCGAACTCGTCCTGCCCCACCGCGTCGCTGGAGCCTGGCTCGAGCTTCACCTTCTGCAGCGGGACGGTGCCCGACTCGAACTTCACCTTCTTCTTCAACGGGGAGGGGCTGCAGAGGTCGATCTCGACGGGCCCGTTCTGGCGCAAGTTGCGGCTGAAGACATTGGAAGGCTCCCGCTTAATCGGCGCCGTCGGCACGACAGGGGCGGCCGCGGGCGCCTCCGCCTGCTCGCCGATCATGGAGCCGCCCAAGCCGAACGGGTCCTCCTCTTCCTCGAGCCAGGCGGATGGACGCGCAAGCCGCCACCACCCCGAATCCCTTGGAGCGAAAAAGTAGCATGGGGGAATGGCGCCAGGGGGGGGGGCGCAATGGGGGGGGGGGCGGCTTGCACGTTCAATCGCATGACCCTCCTGGTCGCCCAGAAAGATCCGCCCAGCCGAGCTCGGCGGCGGCGGCGCGGCAGCGCCCGCGGCCGGCTCCCCCACTGGGCCTGCAGCCTCCGCGGGGACGCCGTACTCGACGCCGCGCTTTGCCATGATCTCCATGACCATCTTCTTCTCGTAAGCCATGACCCTGTCGAACTCCTCCTCGTCGCGCATGACCCCGCGGGCCAAGTAGGAGCGCAGCATCTTGCCCGCCTCGGGCTTGAGGTACCCATCCATCAACGGGAGCTTTTCCACGCGGCTCTCGGTGCCAGCGAGCCTGAAGAACATGTCAGTCGGAGTGTTCAAGAACACGGTGCAGCGTTTCAGCATAGCGCCGACATTGCTCGGCGAGAAGTTCTTCGGGAACGTTGGCTTGAGCATGTCGGTCAGGATGGCGGTCGTCTTCTGGGCGGCGTCGGCGCCTGTGGATGCCAGCGCCCACTGCGTAGCTGTCGGCGCTGCGCTGGCGTCGTATTCGTTCTCCCCGCCGAAGCGGGCCTGCCCGCGGACGAATTTCGCCGCCCCCCACCTGACGTACGTCATGGCCTCCGCCTGAGTGGTGTCGAAGAATGCTTTCAACACCTTGGGCCTCTGCTCCGCCAGGTCACCGTCGTCGAAGATGCAAGGGACCCAGCGCTGCCCGACTTCACCGCGGAAAAAATCCATGTCGGGCGCTGTCCGCACGGCGGCCACCGCGTCGGCGCGGCCAGTCGCCCTGTTCTCCGCGTCGGCGTTGTGCCTGGCGCTGGCCATGGCCATCGACATCATGAACGGCGTTTTGCCGAAGCCCGCCTCGCCCACGCACAGGACGGTGTTGGTGTCCAGCATCTCCATGGCGCGCCGCATGGCGCCCTGGTACTCATCGCGGACATCTGGGAGCAGGATGGGGTAGTATACCAGCTTGTTGGCGAAATGGTCGCGGTCCCGCAGCACCTTGAGGACCGCGTTGATGAGCTCCCGCCTGAGGTTGTGAATTGGCGACGAAGGGTCCACCAGCTCGCACTCTACCCACTCCAGCTGTTCGCAGTCAGCATTTGTGCGTGGGGCTTCGTCCTTAATGTGCTGGATGCCCGCCGAGAGCTCCTTCTTCTTCTGATCGACGTCAACGTCGCCGCCGCCAGCTCTGGGCGCGGGCGCGCTCACGAACTCCCAGTATCGCGCTTGGACACCACCGAGGCGTTCGAACAGGATCTGCATCGTGCGGGCAGAGTTGAACACGTCCTTGCGCCAGTCCAAAACGTGCATGTTGCCGCGGATAATGCTGTCCCTCACGAAGGGGCTCTTCTCCCCGCCAATGAACTGAATCCACTTCACGACGATTGGGAGTCCGTCTGCGACTCTCTGTGCGACGGCAAGATTCATCGTGCAAGGGGGCTCTGCCTCCGGGTCGCTGAAGCAGAACGGCGGCGGCGGCAATTCCTTGTACTTGCCTTCTGCCATAATGTCTTTGACCTTGGCCCAGTCCACAGCGCGGCCATCTCGGCGGCGTCGACGTCAGTGACGATGTCGACAACGGACTTTATGGAGGCGTTGCCGCGAGCGCTCCATGGCTTGACGGGCAGGTCGTAAACGTCCACCGAGCCCTTGCGGTCGAGACTGCCGTCGATCTTCGGCTTGCCAAGGGGGGTGGCCTTTTTCAAGTTCTTCGCCCTATCCCACGCAGCAACGAGCACGTCGCTCGTCATGCCCTCGACGCACATGTGGACGCCGAGCGACTTCATGCCTTGGGCGGGCACGTTGGCTGCCTCGGCGACAACGCCGCGGGCGGCCATCGCTTGGAAGCCTTGCAGGGGAGGGTGTCAACGTCAGCGCGCCTGTTGCCCGCAGGAGCGGCGGACGCCTTGAGCCAAAATGGCACGTCTGTCGGAACCCAGGATCCCGCAGCACGTACAGCTGCTACTACATGTTTCTGATTGGTCTTTTTCGTGCCTGTGGCATTTGTCCAAGGAATCCAAGGTCTGGCGGCGACGGGGGCGGGGGGAATGGCAACGATATGTTTTCTCATCAGCTACGGCTGCTCGGACTCGCCGGCGGCCCTCTTCTGGACTTCAGGCTGTCGAAACAAAAGCGTCGGTTGCATCGGCGGCCGATTTGCTTCAGGAATCCAAGGCGTCGCGGCCACAAAAACAAGGAGGGCGGTAACGATGTGTATGTTTTCATAAAGCACGGCTGCTTTATTGATCGCGCGGGTCTCATTCGGGTCTCTGGCGGGTCTCTGGCGGTCGGGACGCACGCGTCGGTTGCGGCACTGGCCCTTTTGCCGAAGGAATCCAAGGTGTCGCGGCCAGGAAAACAAGGAGGGCGGTAACAATGTGTGTTTTCATCAACGACGGCTGCTTCGTTGAGCTCGTGGCTCTCGTTCGGGTCTCTGGCGGTCGGGATGCACGCGTCGGTTGCGGCAGCGGCCCTTTTGCCGAAGGAATCCAAGGTGTCGCGGCCAGGAAAACAAGGAGAGCGGTAACAATGTGTTTTTTCATCAACTACGGCTGCTTTATTGAGCTCGCGGCCCTCGTTCGGGTCTCTGGCGGTCGGGATGCACGCGTCGGTTGCGGCAGTGGCCCTTTTGCCGAAGGAATCCAAGGTGTCGCGGCCAGGAAAACAAGGAGAGCGGTAACAATGTGTTTTTTCATCAACTACGGCTGCTTTATTGAGCTCGCGGCTCTCTTTCGGGTCTCTGGCGGTCGGGATGCACGCGTCGGTTGCGGCAGTGGCCCTTTTGCCGAAGGAAATCCAGGTCCCGCGGGGACGGCGGTAAGAATAACGACAACGATGTGTTTTTTTCATCAAGCACGGCTGATTTATGGAGCTCGTGGCTCTCGTTCGGGTCTCTGGCGGTCGAGATGCACCTCGTTGGCGTGCCAGTACGCCCACTGGGCCGATCGGATGCTGGCGAGGAAGCGGAGGGGGGCGAGGAGGGCGAGGAGGAGGAGGAGGAGGACGACGACGACGACGACGACGATGACGATGACGAGGGCGAGGTGGAGGTGAGGGCGGTGGAGGAGGTGGACGACGAGGAGGGTGCGGAAGGCATTCTTCATGGCCTTCGCTCTCTCACACAGCCCCGACGACGCCGATTACGATCGAGATGTCGTCGGGCTTGGGCGCGCCGCGCATCTGCGCACACTCGATCATCTGCTCGGCCGCGGCCTGCGCGTCGGAATCTGCGCGCGTGAGCACGAACTTCATGGCATCGTACGGGACGTTGTCAGTGATGCCGTCGGAACAGCATATAATGATGTCGCCCTTGCTCAATTGGACAACGCCGTAGTCGGCCTGCGCCACGGAGCGCTCCAAGTCGTCGCCCGCCCTGTTCACGCCAGGGAAAAACGAAACCTGCTTCGGGCCCATCACCTCGCCTGACTCCGTGGCGATGCGGACGTGGTGGTCTCTGGTGATGAAGCAGCGCGTGTAGCTTCCCGTGAGGGCCGACCTGCGCCACACCTGGATGGATACGTCCCCAATGTGGCAGTAGGACATCTTGGTGCCGGCCACCGAAAAGAACCCGACCGTGGTGGAGCCGTGCAGCGTAGTGGTCTGGATGGCGAGATGCAGGAGCCTCGCAGTTTTATGTTGTTGCGGCTTGTGATTACTTTGTTGTTGTGTTTGGTGTGTGCGTGCGTTGCTGGTTTGGTTTGCAGGTGGCCTCTGGCGGTCGAGACGCACGCGTCGGCTGCGGCAGTTGCTTTTTTGTCGAAGGAATCCAGAGTCTTTCGGCCAGAAAAACACGGAGGGCGGTAACGATATGTTTTTTCATCAATCACGGCTGCTTCATTGAGCTCGTGGCTCTCGTTCGGGTCCCTGGCGGTCGGGATGCGCGCGTCGGTTGCGGCAGTGGCCTTTCTGCCGAAGGAATCCAGGGTCTCGCCGCGCCGTTCAGCTCATGAGCCATGATGTCCCCCAAGACAAGGGAGAGCTTGCGCGGCTTCGGCGGCTTCTGCCCGAACTCGCCCTGCCCCACCGCGTCGCTGGAGCCTGGCTCGAGCTTCACCTTCTGCAGCGGGACGGTGCCCGACTCGAACTTCACCTTCTTCTTCAACGGGGAGGGGCTGCAGAGGTCGATCTCGACGGGCCCGTTCTGGCGCAAGTTGCGGCTGAAGACATTGGAAGGCTCCCGCTTAATCGGCGCCGTCGGCACGACAGGGGCGGCCGCGGGCGCCTCCGCCTGCTCGCCGATCATGGAGCCGCCCAAGCCGAACGGGTCCTCCTCTTCCTCGAGCCAGGCGGATGGACGCGCAAGCCGCCACCACCCCGAATCCCTTGGAGCGAAAAAGTAGCATGGGGGAATGGCGCCAGGGGGGGGGCGCAATGGGGGGGGGGCGGCTTGCACGTTCAATCGCATGACCCTCCTGGTCGCCCAGAAAGATCCGCCCAGCCGAGCTCGGCGGCGGCGGCGCGGCAGCGCCCGCGGCCGGCTCCCCCACTGGGCCTGCAGCCTCCGCGGGGACGCCGTACTCGACGCCGCGCTTTGCCATGATCTCCATGACCATCTTCTTCTCGTAAGCCATGACCCTGTCGAACTCCTCCTCGTCGCGCATGACCCCGCGGGCCAAGTAGGAGCGCAGCATCTTGCCCGCCTCGGGCTTGAGGTACCCATCCATCAACGGGAGCTTTTCCACGCGGCTCTCGGTGCCAGCGAGCCTGAAGAACATGTCAGTCGGAGTGTTCAAGAACACGGTGCAGCGTTTCAGCATAGCGCCGACATTGCTCGGCGAGAAGTTCTTCGGGAACGTTGGCTTGAGCATGTCGGTCAGGATGGCGGTCGTCTTCTGGGCGGCGTCGGCGCCTGTGGATGCCAGCGCCCACTGCGTAGCTGTCGGCGCTGCGCTGGCGTCGTATTCGTTCTCCCCGCCGAAGCGGGCCTGCCCGCGGACGAATTTCGCCGCCCCCCACCTGACGTACGTCATGGCCTCCGCCTGAGTGGTGTCGAAGAATGCTTTCAACACCTTGGGCCTCTGCTCCGCCAGGTCACCGTCGTCGAAGATGCAAGGGACCCAGCGCTGCCCGACTTCACCGCGGAAAAAATCCATGTCGGGCGCTGTCCGCACGGCGGCCACCGCGTCGGCGCGGCCAGTCGCCCTGTTCTCCGCGTCGGCGTTGTGCCTGGCGCTGGCCATGGCCATCGACATCATGAACGGCGTTTTGCCGAAGCCCGCCTCGCCCACGCACAGGACGGTGTTGGTGTCCAGCATCTCCATGGCGCGCCGCATGGCGCCCTGGTACTCATCGCGGACATCTGGGAGCAGGATGGGGTAGTATACCAGCTTGTTGGCGAAATGGTCGCGGTCCCGCAGCACCTTGAGGACCGCGTTGATGAGCTCCCGCCTGAGGTTGTGAATTGGCGACGAAGGGTCCACCAGCTCGCACTCTACCCACTCCAGCTGTTCGCAGTCAGCATTTGTGCGTGGGGCTTCGTCCTTAATGTGCTGGACGCCCGCCGAGAGCTCCTTCTTCTTCTGATCGACGTCAACGTCGCCGCCGCCAGCTCTGGGCGCGGGCGCGCTCACGAACTCCCAGTATCGCGCTTGGACACCACCGAGGCGTTCGAACAGGATCTGCATCGTGCGGGCAGAGTTGAACACGTCCTTGCGCCAGTCCAAAACGTGCATGTTGCCGCGGATAATGCTGTCCCTCACGAAGGGGCTCTTCTCCCCGCCAATGAACTGAATCCACTTCACGACGATTGGGAGTCCGTCTGCGACTCTCTGTGTGACGGCAAGATTCATCGTGCAAGGGGGCTCTGCCTCCGGGTCGCTGAAGCAGAACGGCGGCGGCAATTCCTTGTACTTGCCTTCTGCCATAATGTCTTTGACCTTGGCCCAGTCCACAGCGGCCATCTCGGCGGCGTCGACGTCAGTGACGATGTCGACAACGGACTTTATGGAGGCGTTGCCGCGAGCGCTCCATGGCTTGACGGGCAGGTCGTAAACGCCCACCGAGCCCTTGCGGTCGAGACTGCCGTCGATCTTCGGCTTGCCAAGGGGGGTGGCCTTTTTCAAGTTCTTCGCCCTATCCCACGCAGCAACGAGCACGTCGCTCGTCATGCCCTCGACGCACATGTGGACGCCGAGCGACTTCATGCCTTGGGCGGGCACGTTGGCTGCCTCGGCGACAACGCCGCGGGCGGCCATCGCTTGGAAGCCTTGCAGGGGAGGGTGTCAACGTCAGCGCGCCTGTTGCCCGCAGGAGCGGCGGACGCCTTGAGCCAAAATGGCACGTCTGTCGGAACCCAGGATCCCGCAGCACGTACAGCTGCTACTACATGTTTCTGATTGGTCTTTTTCGTGCCTGTGGCATTTGTCCAAGGAATCCAAGGTCTGGCGGCGACGGGGGCGGGGGGAATGGCAACGATATGTTTTCTCATCAGCTACGGCTGCTCGGACTCGCCGGCGGCCCTCTTCTGGACTTCAGGCTGTCGAAACAAAAGCGTCGGTTGCATCGGCGGCCGATTTGCTTCAGGAATCCAAGGCGTCGCGGCCACAAAAACAAGGAGGGCGGTAACGATGTGTATGTTTTCATAAAGCACGGCTGCTTTATTGATCGCGCGGGTCTCATTCGGGTCTCTGGCGGGTCTCTGGCGGTCGGGACGCACGCGTCGGTTGCGGCACTGGCCCTTTTGCCGAAGGAATCCAAGGTGTCGCGGCCAGGAAAACAAGGAGGGCGGTAACAATGTGTTTTTTCATCAACGACGGCTGCTTCGTTGAGCTCGTGGCTCTCGTTCGGGTCTCTGGCGGTCGGGATGCACGCGTCGGTTGCGGCAGTGGCCCTTTTGCCG